CCAGGACAGTCAAGGCTATATAAAAAGATCCTGCCTCAAAAACAAAACAAAACAAACAAACAAACAAAAAACCAGAAGCTGGAGAGATGGCTCAGTCAGTAAAGTCAGTAAAATGCTTGCTATGCAAGCATGAGAAGGTGAATTTAACCCCCAGAGTCCATATAAAAGCCTGTTGTATGATACCTTTCTACTGACTCTGCCCCATTTTTCCCTGCAAATAGTATGTAAGATGCTGTACTTCTTAAAAAGCTTGCTTGGTATAAGACATAGCTTGTGCAAATCTCCTGAGCCCACCTGTTCTATCTTCTTTATCTCTGACCCCCTTGTCCTTCCTCCTCAGGGCCCTGTCACTGAAGAACAACTTGCTGGTCCAGGCCAAAAAGCAATATATGACAATAAAACCATAGGAACAAGGGCTGGAGGGTAGCTCAGTTATGGTGCCATTAATCCCAGCACTTGGGAGCACAGGTATGCTGATCTTTGTGAGTTTAGGCCAGTCTTCATAGTGACCAAAAAACCCCAAAAATAAAAAATTAAAAATGAATCAAGAATTAAGGACATGGGCTGGGTAAAAATAAAGGAAGACTTAAGCTTGACTGCTGTTCAGCACATTGCTGCTAGCTGGGGTTCTATTTTTTATTTGCTGACTATAAAAAGAAGCTGGTCTCTTTAGCTAGCCATGATTCATAACTATTCAGTAAATTATACTTTGTTAAACTACCTCGAAACACTTATCTTTTCCTTGTAGTCTGATCCCTCCAAATATCAAAACTTACCAAATACTTCTTTCATGGTAAAATCTACTTGCATAGTTGCAATTAGGAGCTATATTCCCCCACAGCAGGACACAAGTGGAAACTTCAGGCGGCAGCTGTTGACAGGAGTTTCCCATTGGAGAATGATTACCCAGAATCAGAGCTTTAAGGAATTAAGTTTGAGTTTATTGAGCCATTGTTTACAAAGCCCTCTTGAAAAACTTTGCTGGCTAGATGTGGTAGCACCTGTAACCCTACCATTCTGGAGGCAGGGGCAGGACGATTGATGATTGATCGCTGTAAGTCACAAGCCTGACCTACACAGCAAACTCCAAGTTAGCAAGGTACATGGAGAGACTGTCTCAAAACAAAAGGACTCCATGTTGTGCCTTAAAACAAACAAACAACGGGACATGGTGGCTTGAACCTTTGTCCTAGCTCTCTGAAGACAAGTTTATCTCGGAGTTCAAAGCCAGCCTGGAATACAGAGTGAGTTCCAGGACATTCAGGACTACACAAAGGAACTGTCTTGAAAAACCAAAATAACAAGTAAGTAAATATATAAAAGAAAAACATTCTGATTTTATTAGAATTGGCCTGCATATTCATATCAGTACAGTAAGATAGTAATTGGCCCCCAGGAGGTCCACGAGGAATTTAAAAAGCCTCTTCATGAAGGCTCAGAAGCACCCCAGAATCAGCCATCAGACCTCAGTGAGGTGTCCACAAATTTGGGTGTACCTTGTTCTTACCAAGGCCATTAAAGTATCCTGAGGTTCCTGGGCCTTCCTTGAACTCACAAAGATTTGACTGCCTCTGCTTCCTGAGTTCTGGAATTGAAAGTATGCCCAGCTATAATTCTTTTTTTATTTTTATTTATGTGTCTGTGTGTATGCCCCCAGAGAAGAGGGCTTGGGTTGCTGGAGCTGGGGTTACAGCTGGCCATCGTTATGATAAAGCTGGAGAGACACCTTGGCAGATTGCATGGCAGGGGAGCGTGACCCAGGCTGGGTGACAAACATGCCAGGCAGACAGAGCTTAAGTGGGAAGTTTTATTAGAAAGGGAAGGGGGAGGGGTTGGGGAGGAAAGAGAAAAGAGGTAAAGAGACACAGAGACAGAGGGAGGACAGAAGAGAAGAGGGAGACAGGAAAAGTCCTGTCTGTCCCAGGGGAACAGCGGGAAAGAGAGGGAAAACAGCAGGAGAGTACAGAAAAGAGAGTGTAAGCGGGTGGGGGTCTGTCTTTTAAAGGGTTCCTTTGCACCTTCGTGCAGACTACGAAACCACGGATCACTGGGCTAACCAGGGTACTGCCTGAGTGCATTCTGCCAGGTGACAGGGGCAGGCCAGCACAATGCCCGAATCCTTACAGCCCTGAGTCACCTGATGTGGGTGCTAGAAAACAAACTCAGGTTCTATAGAAGAGCAGCATTGCTCCTAACCCCTGATCCATTCTTCCAGAAGCTAGATTTTTTTTTTTTTGTTTTTTGAGACAGGGTTTCCTCTGTATAGCCCTGACAGTCCTAGAACTAGATCAGGCTGGTCTCAAACTCAGAGGTCCTCCAGCCTGCTTCTGCTTCCCACGTGCTAGCATTAAAGGCATGTGCCGCCACCGCCTGCTTAGAATCCTTTTTTAAACAAGAATGAATAATCAGTGGTATGGAAGGTTAGCACACACCAAACACTGGGTGCAATCCCAGTACTCTGCAAAAAAGGCAAAATGTTGCTTTATTTTTGATCAAAAAGGGAGGTGATATCTGTGTTTCAACAGAGAAGCATAACATATTTGTGCAGTTTATCAGATTCTTAACGTCCCTTTCTTCTTTCCTCCTCCTCCTATTAAGTCAGGGTCTTGTGTGCCCTAGGTTGGGCTTCCTACATAGCCAAGACTGGCTTTGAATTCCTGAGCCTCTGACCTCTACCTCCCAAATGCTGTGGGTTCAAATATAATGGTTGCATATCCTCACATCAGATTTCAGATTCTGTTCTTGTTCACTGTCTTTGAGGATTTATGACTTATCTGTGGATGGGTTTCACCTCATTTTCTTACATGCTTTGTTGATTTTTTTTTTGTGTGTGTGTGTGTGTGGGGGGGGTGTTCATATAGCCCAGACTAACCTCAAACTTGCTATGGAGATGAGCATGGCACTGAATTCTGATCCTCCTGCTTTACTTTTTGGGTGCTGGATTTCCAGAAATATCCCACCATGCCTAGCTTTATTAAGTGCTAGGTGTTGAACCCTGGGCCTCATGCATGTCAAACACGCAGTCTACCATCTGAGCTACATTCCCCACCCTCCAGTCTTCCCTTCTTAAGTTAGGAAAACTTAAGGGGAGAAGAAAAGAAGCACCTTATCCTAGGATCTAGTTTGGGTTTTCCTGTTAGCCGAAAGTCAAGAAACTTCAATACAATTGATAAAGCCAAAACTGCCTACAGAAATAATATTGTTTTCCTAAAGGCATTGCAAATGATGTTAAAACAACTGGGCCAGGGGAAGACCACTCAGTTCTGATCCCCAAAACCACTTAAAGCCAAACATGGTAATACGTGTCTATAATTCCAGTGCTGTGAGAAGAAGATAGAGCCTGTGGGCTAGCTAGTATAGCATGAGCAATAGTAAACAAGAGAAAAGACACTGCCTCAACCAAGGCAGAAGGTGAGTTTTAAAAGACATCTGAGGTGTCCTCTGACCTCCACATGTTCATCATGGCATGTACTCGCCCATACTCCCACACACAAACACATAGACATACTTAGAGCCAGGCAGGCATGGGCTCACAAATGTCATCCCAACACAAGAGAGGGCGATGCAGCAGTCCTGGTGCAAGTTTTAGGCCAGCTTTAAAAAGAGGACCCAATAACAAAAACGACCTGTATTTACTTAGAGCCAGAATGTTTACAACTTTGAGTTTCACTGTTAGTACCCTCTCATCCCCCAATTTAAAGACAAAAACAAACAAACAAAAAAATGAACTTCATGGCTAGGTAGTGGTGGTGCATGCCTTTAGTCCCAGTACTCAGGAGGCAGAGGCAGGCGGATCTCTCGACCTCGAGACCAGCCTGAGCTACAGAGTGATTGCCAGGACAACTAGGGGCTGTTACACAGAGAAACGCTGTCTTGAAAATCCAAAACCAAAACAACAAAAAACCAAACCCCAAAACAAAAAACATACTTCACAAGAACGTCTTACAGCTTCATATGTAAAAAGAAAATTGTGCTCTTTTTTTCAAAAACAAGGGGCTCCATTCTGTAGCCCAAGCTGGCCTGGAAATCACTATGTAACACAAACAGGCATCAAATTCAGGACGGCCTCCTGTTTCTTCCGTGCTTGATGCAGCTATCCTGTTCCAGCAGGATCTGCAGGCTGAAGCCTGACAACATAGAAACTTTAGAGCCTTCAACACACCAAATACTCTGTGGGCAACCTTCTGCCTGGCACCACAGTTACATGGGCCACATGGGAAGTCCTCTACTGGGTCTGTGCACTGTTTTGGGAAATGACCATGCCTGAAACTCTGTGGTGGATCACTTACCTCATACACTCGGAGGATACCTGGGAAACCCTCAAGATTGCTCAACCCTCTCAAAGATATATGGCATCTAGACACGTCCTCTGGACTCAAAAGCTAATGTGTAGCAAACACCAACCTGTGGCTGTTTTCTCAAGAATGACCTTCACAAAATCCTTGTTCCTGCCAGTTAGCAAATATTTTTGTCCTAGTACAATTGTTAGACCCCCGAAAACTCAAGTATCTGGGGTCCCAGGCCACGTTCTCGGTCACCCCAATCACCAGGCGGATTCGAGAGCTTGCTGCAAACTGCACGAGGCTTTATTGTAATTTAACGAGCTAACCCCATGTTAGCTCGGGTCTTTCACCCACCCGCCATGGCAGCTGGCTAGAAAAGATGGCTTCTAGGGGCTCCCAAAAGATCTTATAGGGCAGCGTAAGGGGAGTGTCTAGGGGTACGCACAGGCTCACAATTGGTGTGCCTCCAGGCTTGGAGGGCTTGCCCTGTGTTGATTGGTCAACTGGTTGTTATGGCCCATAGGCCCTCCCAGGGTGGTTGCTATGCCCTTACGTCATTGCTGTGGACTGTGCGCTTGTCCGTAAAGCATAGCGCCACCAGCTAACTTCTGATTGGTTCCTTGCCA